ACCACCAAAATACAACAGATACTTTTCTCCCAAAAATCAGTCTCAAGGTTAGCTCCTTGAATCCAGTAACACCCAGCTGCAACCCATCTCCTGCACATCTCCATCCCTAATTGCTTTCACCCACGAACTCCCACTTACAGATTACCAAACCCTCTAGAACTAATATTCACATTAACCCTTCCATCACCAACCACCATCAACTGCAGAACATATGACAGGTCTCCAGTTAGGGCTTGCATTCAGCATGGTTTTCTACCAGTACTGCTGATTAGACTTCTGCATGGATCTGTTTTAGCCGTTTTACTTTGGCAAAGCTGGCTTCTTCAGCTCTACTGGGTGGCTGTAACAGCAAGGGCCCCGTTGTCACACTTTCCCGTCCATAACAGGACCACGTGGCAGCCAGTCATGACTCCTCCCCTATTTGGCATCAGTGTTGCATCCTGGCTTCAGTTTATTTTTTTGGCTTGGCCTCTCTCTTGAATCCTTTTAATTTTCCTTTATTTCTTGATTCTTTTAATTTAGTGGGATTGACTGGGAGTTGGGAACATGTGGGTGGGGTGTGTATGCATGTTTGGGGGTTTGAGAAAGTCACCCTTTAGCTTCTTTTTCTCCTCCCTTGCTCTCCTTCAGAAAACACACCTGAAAGATAATAGTTATTATTAATATTAACTCAAGCAAACAAAAAGAAAACAAAAGACAAATCCCTATGGGGAACAGCCGGGGGAATAAAGAGAAAACCAATCCGGGAAAAAGATAAGAAAATAAACAATTGCCATATTTGAAATAAGAAAAAACTAACTGACCTTGATAATGTATTGTTGCGTCTATACCCCATCATATCTTTAAACAAAAATAACCATAGAGTAAAGAAAGCCAGAGAGCTGGAAGAAGACCAGCAGAAAGAAAGAGAGAAGAGAACAAGTAAGAAATAGACACGGGAGTGGAACTGTAGAGACAAACAGAAACCCTAGAGAGGCAGGAAGAACCAAGACAGGAATAAACACAGGAAGTACTTAACAGAGTGCACTGGAAAACACGAAGTGACATGACAGAGAGGAAAGACAAGGAGACGAGAGCTGAGGGAGAAGCCAAAAGGGAAAGAGGTACACCAAAGATGGAAACAAGCAGTGAGAGGGGCGAGGAGGAATTTAGAGGGACAGGCAAGAAAAGGAAGACAGAGAAAAGACTACAATTATGCAAGAGAAACAGATGTCGGCACCAGCGAAAGAGAGCGGAGAAAGGATGGAACAGCGGAACGGAGAAGTAAGAATCCAGTCGTGATGGAGGAAAAGACGAAAGAAGGAAGAAGGAAGAGGAGAACCAGGAGATCGGGAAAAGAGGCAGAGGGACAAGGAAAAATACTAACGAGACAAGGGGGCAACAAGAGAATTACTGAAATAAGATTAGAAAAAAGAGCAACTCATAAAAATACACAACTGAAGCAAAAAGAAGGGAAAGTTTGGGAACTCAACAAAAGAAAATCTAAGACAAGGAAAAGGAGAAGGGGAAAGAACAAAATATATAAAAGGCAGGAATAAATGAAACAGAAATGGCAACCCCAAAAGTAAGTCTGGAAAAAGAGGAAAAGAAATTACTCCAAAGGAGAAGTTCATTATTGAGGATGTAAGTTTGAAGGGTGTGATGAGTGAATTACAGAAAATGACAGAAGACCAGAAAACCTTTCAAGACCAGATACTGAGCATGGGGGAAAAAAAACTTAACTGAAGAATTAGGGGCAGTGAAAAAGGATTTGAATGTGGTCTAACAGGACATTAAAGAAATACAATCAGACAATCAGAAATTGGAGAAAATGCAAGATAAATTGCAAGCAAAGATAGATAATTTGGAAACAATGAATGCTAAATTAGAATCTAGACAAGAAAGAATGAAACAAAGAGAAATGGAATTTTACTTGAGATTTAGAAACATCCAGGAGGAAGCCAAAGAAAGCATCATCAGTGTTCAGAGGAGGAGATGGAGGGAAATATTGATCGAACTTACAGACTTACCACAGATTTTGCAAGAAGGAACAAAGTTTTTAGATACATAATTTTTCATAATTCTCAAGACAAAGAATTAGCGACGAGGTTTAGAAATGTAACAGCAAAAACCCAATCCAATACTAAGGAAAAAATAGTTATCCTAAAGGAATTCCCTATTTCAATATTGATAAAAATAAGGAAATATATGTTCTTAACAGAGGAATTAAAGAAATGCCTAATTTGATATATATGGGAGTGAACAGAAGGGATAATGGTAACTTATAAAGAAGAAAGATTCTGGATACATCAGAAGAAAAGGCAAATTAATTCTGCAGAAAACTGAAGAAAGACTCTGAACATCCTAAAACTACAGATCCAAATGAAAAACAGACCACAGAGAAAGTAAAAGATTAAGAACTGTTTCACCACATAAGGTTAAACCCTTGTGCCAGCAGGACTGAAGAGGTCAGAGGTTCGAATCTCGGGAGAGCGTGGATGAGCTCCCTCTATCAGTTCCAGCTCCCCATGCTGGTACACGAGAGAAGCCTCCCACAAGGATGGTAAAACATCAAAACATCTGGTAATCCCCTGGGCAATGTCCTTGCAGATAGCCAATTCTCTCACACCAGAAGCCACTTGCAATTTCTCAAGTTGCTCCTGACATGAAAAAAAAGACCAGATATTGCATTGAGTCCGACAGATTGGAACACTTTACAGGAAGACACAGAAAAATAATAATATGGAAAAAGTGCTATTCAAATAGTATTACTGGACTACATTCACCGCATAAAAGAAACAAAGTAATCAAGCAAATTAGGACAAAAGCGACATAGTGGTGCTACAGGAGACCGACATTTCACAAAAACATGTAGCTTATTTGACTCAGAAAAACTTGGGGAAAGAATTTTATTCCTCCTCAATAGAAAAAAAAGAGAGGAGTATGAATTTAGAGGAGTATGACATTAGATTGGCCCCCACCCCCTTAACGTTTCGCAAAAAAGTTAAAACCTGGCTTTTTGAGCTGGCTTTCTCAAATGCGGTGTTGCTGACAAACCCTGATCTCGGAATGACTGGACAATGCGATTGGATAATGATTTTGGTAATGAGACATGGAGGATCTATGTTTTTATTGGTTTTATTATTTACTGTATTTTATTTATGTTAAATGTTTTAACTTTTTAAAGTTATTGTGGGCATCGAATTGTGCTGTTTAGTAAACCGCCCTGAGTCGCCCTTGGGCTCAGAATGGCGGTATACAGATATAGTAAATAAATAGTAAATAAATAAATATGGGGGTCTAGCCATATCCAGCCAGCAGAAATGAATAAAGGTTCAACCGAAATGCACAAGCCTACTTCTGATTCGCCTGGCCCGGAACCACAGAGAATTGTTTGTGTGTAACCAGTTAAGTATACAGGTCATTTATTGTTACTACAGACTGAGGAACAGGGTTCAGATGAAAAAGACCTGAGTACCTTATTTATTTATTTATTTTGAATATTTGTATCCCACCCTTCTCAACCCCCTGGTCACACCTGCTTCACAGGACCAATCTTATCAGGAATTACTATACTAGTAGCAAACAATACATACTGCATGTTCCCATACCAAAGCAAACAAACAACCTTCCTCAAATGTACATTGCAAACAGAAAAAATATCGGGTAAATGTAATTGCTAGCAAAATTAATGGTGCAAGGATGCCTGAATGTTCCTGTTAAAATGCTAAAATCACTCATAATTTAAATTCTTCTCTAGAAGTCATTCCTTTGTCTTTCTGTCTGAATATCAGTATAATGCATTTACATTCCTTGTTCCCCCACCCTGCCAAATTGAAGATTAATCTTTTTCAGGAAAGCAATTCTGAATTGGCAAACTTTGAACTGTACTTAAGAAACCAACTCCCTCTTGGTAAACGAATGGTTCTGGTTCCACTATGCTTTTGGTTGTTATGGCTGCTGCAAATGGATACCAGCGGCGATGAGGCCGAAAGACAGGGCACACACAAGACAGGACAGTGGGATGCTACAACTGTGTGTGTGTGTGTGTGTGTGTGTGTGTGTGTATGTATAATGATTACAATGTTATATATTGCTTTGCTGCCACCATTTATTATTAAAGGTTTCTTTTGCTGCCACCATTTATTGATTCATAGGCCATCTTCTTGCTAGGAGGATCAAGAAGACTCACAAACTCTTCAGGTGAAATAAAAACAAGAAAATGATTTTTTTTTTGTTCTTGAACAGTAAAGATGCGTAATGGTTTCGATAAACTGTCAGGATTTATACAGACAATGGTTTTATATCATGAGTTTCTTGCAAACAATATTCCACACACAGGAATACAAACAGGTTGTTTTAAACCTTTTGAATACTCTTTCTGTGAGGCTTCAACGCCAGCACTCTAAAACTATAGAGGTTCACTCTATTTCTTAATCCTTCTCCCTAAAGAGGTATCTTTCTAAATAACCCAAAACTCTTCCTTCTTTCCCCTTCCAAGCTCCAAAACTAACTCCCTCTTCAAACTCCAGACTCCAACTCTTAACTGCCAAATCTCTGGCTGCATAGCTCTTTCTTTTCCTCTGGCTCTGGCCATCTCTGGTTGCTAAGAAACGCCCTCCAATTTCATCAACCAGTCAGACTGCACCAGCTATGAAGCTGTTTGATCGCTCCTCCCCACTGCTCTCCTTAGCTTTTCCAAGCCGGACCTGTTGCTACCTGTACACCAACCTTGTAAGGCAGGCTAATCTGTTACAGCTGCCATGATATTATGCTTTGGTATCTTGTTATATTTTGACCAAAGGAGTAAATGGCAGTTTATTTACATTTGTATAGAAAGTTGAAAAGCTAATATATTGCTAGTAATTAATATTACTAGAAATCTACTAGGAATAGTAGAAAATCGAAATTGGTCCAGGGATCTGCAACGGTTTGGCTTTTACCTTTGTTTTCCAGTAAGAATCTTATTAGATTGACTTTCAACAGTGATCTATAGTGTTTTGGGGTTCTTTGTCTTTCAGCTTGATGACTGTGCTCTGCAACTGTCTCACAATGGCACCTACTTGGATTTAGAGTCTACACTAGCTGAGCAAAAGGATGAATTGGAAGGTTTCCAGGAGGATTCTGGGTATGTATTTTTTCCATTGAAAAGCATACATTTACTACAGAATATGGAGACTGAAGATCTAGTAAAAGGGATGTATAGGCTGAAACAGGGATTCTCAAACTTTTTCAGCCACTGAGCTCTTTAAAGCAAAAGTTTCTCGTAGAACCCCAAGAAATGTATGTATGTGTGTCTGTGTATGTATGTGTGTGTGTGTGACAGATGGATGAAGAGTGTTTGTGTGAACTAATTCACACAATGCAAGATAAAAAGAAAAAAAGAACAATACAATATTTAAAATGAAAAACAGTTTTAACCAACATAAACTTAACGAGTCCAACCCCCTTCTACCATGCAGGAAAAATACAAAGCACCCCCAACACTTGGCCATCCAGCCTTTGTAATAGTAATAACTGTCAGGACTCGGTTTCCTGGCCTCGGACATTGGCGCAAAAAACCCACGTCCTGACTAGGAAAACTGATAAGGATATGCAGCTGGTGGCCTTGGGGGAAAGCAGTTGATAAATGGCGGGGAACATTGCGCGGGATCCTCGGCTGGCGGGAAAGGGAGATTCAATTGTGAGGGAGGGTATAAAAGGGGTTGACTGCGGCTGCATGCCAATCCTGGCTTTCGTTGTGTATGCATTTCCAGTAGTAAAAGTTTCCTGATTGATTACGGATTGGCGTCCTGTGTCTTTTCTGGGAGCGGCTGCTGTGAGTTTACAAATAACAAGAGCAGAAATCCCAGAGGCCATCCATTCCACCCCCCATCTGCCATGCAGGAAAAACACAATCAAAGCACCCCCTGAGTTTAAATTTCTCTTCATTTCTCAGGAGGAAAAAGGAGGAGGCAGGAAACAGCATGGCTCTGTGGAGCCCCTCACTATCACCTGCAGAGCCCCAAGGGCTCCGTGGAGGACAGTTTAAGGACTCCTGAGCTAAAGGCTTAGAAATGATGCTTACAGTTAGTCTAACTTGAGGTAATAGCATTAAAATGATGGCCAAGTGTTATACTGTCTTCTATACATTACAGAAGATTCCAGATTACTAGAACCAATTTTTCAAATATGGCATAACTTGGGAACTTTTTAAGTGTCCAATAGTAAGAAAGAATGAGGGTTTTTTCCTCTTAAAAAAGGTATATTGTACTTCAAATTTAATTTTGATCCATTTTTTTCTGATACTTTATGGGAAAATCTACTACAATTATTTCTTGAATCTTCAATCTTTTAAATCTGGTGACCACATATGATATTTTTATGTTGTACAGTGAATGTTTTTATTTATTTATTTATTTATTTATTTATTTATTTCGAGGTTTTATATACTGACCCTCTAACCTTCAAAGAGGGATTCGGACCGGTTCACAACATGTGTTAACATACAAAGAATATACAATAACAACACAATGCCACTTCATAACACGATTAAAATATCAGCACCATACACATTAAAACATTATCATCACAGTTAAAAGAGCCAAATCGTCCAACACCATCACAATACCATTCATCATCCTCCTTTCATGTGGGCAAAGAATTAAATCAGTTGTCAAATGCCGCGTTCCACAACCAAGTCTTTGTTAGTTTCCTGAACGTCATGAGGGAGGGGGCAGTTCTGATCTCTAATGGCAGGGAGTTCCAAAGTCGATGGACCATCATCGAGAAGGCCCTGTTCCTCGTCCCCACCAGCCGTGCTTGTGCAGGCGATGGGACCGAGAGCAGGGCCCCTCCAGACAATCTTAGTGGTCTTGATGGTTCGTAGGGGAGAATACGTTCGGAGAGGTAAACAGGGCCGGAGTCGTTTAGGGCTTTATAGGTTAACACCAGCACTTTGAATTGTGCTCGGAAGCTAATCGGCAGCCAGTGGAGCTGGTGTAACAGCGGAGTGGTGTGCTTCCTGTACCCAGCACCCGTTAGTAATCTGGCTGCCGCGCGTTGTACTTGCTGCAGCTTCCGGGCAGTCTTCAGAGGCAACCCCACGTAGAGAGCGTTGCAGTAATCTAAGCGGGATGTAACCAAAGCGTGACCTACCGTGGCCAAGTCAGCCTTCCCAAGGTACGGACGCAGCTGGCACACAAGTTTTAATTGTGCGAATGCTCCCCTGACCACCGCTGAAACCTGGGGTCCCAGGCTCAGCGATGAATCCAGGAGAACTCCCAGACTGCATACCTGTGCTTTTAGGGGGAGTGTGACCCCGTCCAGCACAGGCTGTAACCCCATACCCTGTTCAGTCTTACGACTGACCAGGAGTACCTCTGTCTTGTCTGGATTTAGTTTCAATCTGTTGTCCCTCATCCAGTCCGTGACAGCGGCCAAGCACCGGTTCATGACCTGAACAGCCTCCTTAGTGGCAGGTGAAAAAGAGTGATAGAGTTGGACATCATCTGCGTACAGATGACATCGCACCCCAAAACTCCGGATGATCTCTCCCAACGCCTTCATGTATATGTTAAACAACATAGGGGACAGTACTGAACTCTGCGGGACTCCACAGTACAATGGCCGCGGAGTCGAGCAGGTGCCCCCTAAAGACACCTTCTGAGAACAACCCTCAAGGAACGACTGGAGCCACTGCAATGCAGTACCCCCAAGGACCATTCCCGCGAGGTGTCTCAGAAGGATACCGTGGTCGACGGTATCGAAGGCCGAAGAGAGGTCCAGCAGGACCAGCAGGGACACACTCCCCCTGTCCAATTCCCGGCGAAGATCATCCACTAAGGCGACCAAGGCTGTCTCA